TTTGGTTTTTTCGAGCAGTGTTAAAACTCCACTAATCGGTTTGAATTAGGTGAAATTAGGTAAAATCGGTTTGAATTAGATCAATATACAAAATAATAGATAAAAGATTAAGATGAAAAATAATAGATCAAGATAAAAGATCCAAATAGGTACAGAAAAAAAGGTCAGCAATAGCTGTATAAGTGAACCGAATATTCTAACCTTTTTAGAGCCCACAGAATTAGTTTTCGCAAATGAAATTGAATTTAAAATTATATAAATTAAATCAAACTACGAAAACTCAAAATCATGCGTAAAACCTTTGAAAACATAGCCAAAAATTAATTGGAAAGGAGTCAATGAATGTATACAACAGGAAAAAAAAAATAATTACTCTTTTATTGAAAAATATTAAATTTTCTTGTTAAAAAATAATTGCACTTTAGTTCTTTGAATTTCAAGAAGAATTTATAATTGATTTTGTTACGAACTTATCGCAGTTTAAAAAAAACTGGGTCGATAAATGAAATTTTTGTTCCGCTGGGAAATCGGAGTATCAAATTTCAATTTCAAAATTAGAAGTCGATCACGTTTTGTCACCTTCGCACTTTCAAGTGGAAAGCGCAAGTTATATAACTTTTAGATGAAATTAAACTGAACTCAATTGACCTTGCAACACCAAAAGAATTTCCTGAAACTTCAGTTAGTTTTATGAACTGAATCAGGTAGAACGTAAGCCAATTTTTGGTAAAAGCTGACAAAAAATTGTAACTCCAAGGCAAGGCGACAAAATCTGAAGCTATCTATGAGCATTTCCGTTTTCAGTACATATATATAAAAGTGAACTTCGTTTATCGACTCAAAAAATCAGTGACGGGGACTCATTTTTTAAACTATCAAATGACTATCAAATTAGGGTGGGTACAAAATACCTTTTACTTTTTCTTGTACAACTTAGCTTGAATGGAAAATCTTTGAATCAAATTCTAAATTAGAATACAAAACTAACATTAATATGGTACAGAAGTTCGATTGATATTCGTTTGTATTGGCAAAGCAACGCGGGTTTGTAACATTAGAATTATGTAGTCAACTGTTGTGATGTTGTTGTGCACTCATAGCATGTGATGATAGGAATAAGGCCAGGCTATTAGGGTTAAGGTCAATAAAGGAAATGGTTAATACAGGTCAAGGTCATGAGCTGCATTTACAAATGTCTTAACTCAGTTTCTTATAAAAATTGCAATAAATTGGAATAAACTTGATTACTTAAAAAAGCAATCAACCAATACTTTTGCGTGCCCAATCTAATTTTCACATAAAGTATGCATCGCAGTCTCCTAAACACTTATTTTTAAGCAAGAATTGGTCAAAATTGGCAGATTGCCTTTTAATTAATTCTGTCTATTTCATTTTTTCTTCTAACTGAATTCACAAAACTAATCAAAATACCCAAGAGCTATTACTTTATTTAGATAAAACTAAAAGCAATTAAGCTTTTTCTCTCCGTGTTTCGAAAGAATATTGCAAAAAATGATGAACTGAGTTAAGATCGCAGAGGTTCATGGCTAACACTAAAGCTAGGTTTCAATCTTTTTTCCACAGCAACTTGGATTTCAAATTTACAAATCTAGTTTATAAGAACGAGTGAAAAATAAACGCTATTTACATCAATAGAAGTTAGCTTCAACAAACAAGTAAGCAAACTGTAAAAAATAAAATAAAATTTAAAATTATAAACACCAGCTTAGTTATGAGAGAAACCAGAGTTTGAAATATACATAGAAATTGTTTTTAAAACTTATGAAACGCAACCTAAAACTAATTTGAGGGCGGCAACTTTGATGTAGCTGACAGATCAAGACGTTCAAAAAACAATCAATAATAACAACGCATATCTCTTATGGGTTAATTTCGAAAAACTATTCGTTTTTTTTTTAAAATTATAATTGTTCGTTGACGGTCTTGACATATCAAGAAACCATTAGACAAAACTAGATCCCTTGCTTATCTTGGCTTTCACAATATTTCATTTTATGATATGATTCCGAGTACAAAATCTATATCTATGTTTCAAAGCAGCGGATCCATCAGTAACCATTCGTAAACAATTACTTTAATCTTGTTTATTGTAAAAAAAAATTAGCAGTAACAATAAAAAAAGTCATTCAGCTTCATTTCAAAAAAAAATACAGGAGGCAGTTGCTGTTTAACTAAATGTACAGTCTTTTTGATTCAATTGAAGACACTCAACGTCACGAGATATAATCCTTCCACGAGCCACTGTCCTCTCAGGCAGAATTCATCCCACGAAATCTCCTCACAAAAAAGATCCCCCTCACAAGAAAATCTCCTCCTTAGTTGTGACGATTGGGTATCTGCCCGTGTGTAAAGTAAGGGCTTCGCTTGCATCGTGTGTGTTGTATGCACCTGCGTCTTCATCTGTCCTGTATGACCCCTTGCGCATGAAATGTTTAATGGCCACTACTGCTATGATAAGTAGAGCGATGACGCCCACGATGCCCAAACCTAAACACACAACCTTTGCAAATAGCGCTGTCTCAAGTAAAACCTGGACAAAGTAGCATCGTAGTATCAGACTACACTCCGATTGGTGAGTGGTTGGTGAGCGGTGGTGAAGTGGTTACGTCTCCGCCTCACAATCGAAAGGTCGGCTGTTCGAGGCCCACCATGATCCGCGCTCGTTGCTTGAGGTCGAGGCAACATTACCCACCCCAGAAAAATAACCAAAAATTTGCAAGCAGGGGCACAACAGCGGCTCCCCGCGATGAGCTGTACAGCTCGTATGTTGGTCCTTTCCCTCGTGGATAAACGTTCTTAATTTAAATAATTAACCGATTCAGTTATTGTAAATTTTCGAAAACTACCAAGAGGAAAATGAAAATATAGCGACAGCTGGAAAAGAGTCAATCAACGCACGAAAACAGAAAAAAATATTGACTTGTTTTTTGAAAAAACTCGCAAATTCGTTACTTTCGAATTTCAAAGAAAAAACTAGATGCCCTTAAAGCTCTTTGAATATCTAGAATATTTATTACTACTTTTTTTATTAAACTAACTCAATTTCAGAAAATTGGACCAATAGGTAGAACTTTTATTTCGCTGAGAAATCTCAAAATTTAACTCCACTTTCGAAGCCAGAAGTCGATGGTTTCTTGTGACTTTTACACTTGAGCTGTTCGATAGTGGAGTTTGCTTTCATTTTAACTAAGCAGATGAACTTAACTTAAAAAGAAATCAAAACTCAAACCTCGAAAAATTAAATTTGAGCCTGAACAAATTTGTAGACACTCTGATTAAAGACATTACGACCTACAGATGAGTCTGAACTACGTTAATTAAAGAGCGGTTTCAAATTTGTATAACCTCGCGCTGAACGGTAATTTAAGATTTAAAAAAAAAACGGTTGAACTTTGAACCGAAATGGATCTATGTTGGTTAAACTAAACGATCTTAAGCCACCTCAAGATTAGAGAAGTAATCCAAAACCCGACGTTCAATTTCCTCAACCAATCTATCAATGGTACATTCGCCAAGAACAATTTCCTCCGTATTTCCCTCCTTGTATGTTATTTTCGCTATTGTTCTTTTTATGCTTTTGAATTACATGCTTGTTATGAAACAAAACGAAACAAAGCAGAACACAAGAAAGTAGAAAATTGCTTTTATTTAGAAAGGTGATGAAATGTCATTTCACTGCGCGTCTTTACTATACAGATTTTTTTTTCGAATTACACAACACTTTAGTTTACTAAAACTTGAAAATTACGGTTTTCAAATCGGTCAAATCTGAAGGTCGACAGACAAATTTCATGTCCTCAAAGATGCTTAATTCTAACGCCTCTTTTGGACTCAAAAATTCCCACTAAAGGCAGTAATTGAAGTTACTCTTGTTTCAACTTTGAAAGGAATGCCTTTAAGCCTTTACAAAAAGAGCACAAAGCGTTCACTTAAAATCTGATTCGATTCAGAGAAAAAGTGAATTAGAAGAATGACGCCAATTCCATTAAGTTGGGAGAGCTAAAAGCTTTGTTTAGTCTTATTGCCAAAAAGCTTCACCAAAGTAAAATAACTATGATGTGTTTGACAACTGTCTCTATACACCATAACAAAATCATGCTTTCTGACGTAGTTTACAAATTGAAAATTCCCAATTCTGATTTCAATTTAGCAGCCTAAATCAAAAAATATTAATTGCGCGTTTCTCTATTGAAAATTCCAATAAAACAACTTAATAATTAAAATCAGCCCAGCTATGCCTACTCAAGGATGAAAATTACAAAAACTATGCAAATCAAAAACATCGAGGATTTCAAATATGATATTCAACTACTGTTTCGTTGTCACAGAAGTTGGAAACCTAATTTCTAAATCCAAGTTAAACACAGAGGCTGTGCTTCACAAACACGCGTGAACACGACAAAAAGCAACTCTATGAAGAACAATAAAAATGAGTCTCACGCCCTAACAACTCAGCTACGGATGCTCAAAAAATCACAAACACTAGTCAAAATAAAGCAGAGAACAGATGCTATGAAATTTACAATGCTACAGATCGTTATTATAGCGAAAAAGCCACCAAATAAGTGAACACTTCTAAGGAAGACTTTTATTTGCGAGTAAGATTAGAAAAAAGAAGGTTTGTACTAATACGCTAACGCTCACAAGCTGGCTAGTGTACTTAATAAAAAAAATGTTCAATTACTCTGACCACAATGACAAATGAATTGGGTACAAAAGCTAGAATAAGGTTTAACTATTGCTAAAATTGACGTAAGAATTGCTGCTGAGTTTGGAACTTTCTGAAAATCAAAAAATCGATTTGTTTTTTGATACTGAGACGCTATTCATTTTGAATCGGAATCACGACTCTAATATTATCCCAACTTGTAACCCTAAGAATTTTCTTTGAGGTAGTAAAAGTGCGTTGAACAAAAAAACAACTAGCGAATTTTTGAATTCCATCTACATAGCCATGCGATAATTACAATCTGAAGATTCTAACACAGCGTTTGAACGATCAGCAGCTTTCGGTATGATTTTCAATGAAAGTCTGGTCTGATTACATCAACCGCATTTTTATCCATTTTATTTCCCTTGTAATTGCAAGCATTCGGCGGTTCAACAGTGCCAAAGTTAGCTGGATTAAATGTTCACACCAGTAAGAGTAGAAGACGACTACTGCGCATCTTCTTTCAGTAATCATTAATCACGTTTAACACGTTTCCGATTTGGTTAATTCCTATCATATTTATTTTTTGAGATCTATTTTAATTTTGAAAAAGTATCTGATTATAATTTTTGCTGGTTTAGAAAGAATAATTAGTAAATTTGCTGTCCTCAATTTTAGCTTGAGCTGAAACTAATTAAATTCATTGAGTTTGACTTTCAAAATTTGCGAGAAGCTTCATTTTCTGCTCTGACGCGTTTTATTTGTAAATAGAAAAATTCTTAAATAGAAAATATTTCTATTCAACTTTCTAATCATTCCCTTTCTTTTCAATTTGAATCAGCGAATTCTTTCAGGCTTCTAAGAAAAGAACAACTTGTTCACCTCATTAGAAATTAAAAAGGAAGTTACCACCGTAACAACAATATCATGTAGAAAAAGAATTAATTTATACAAGAGTACAAATTACATAACAAAATGCTGATGGTACAAAACCCTTGGAAAGGGCAGATAACGAGATCAGCTGATCTGCTCTATGCCTACCCTTGAAATTTACTAGGAACTTACTAGGAAATTTACATAGTTATGGTTTTAAACTGAACTAGCGTGTACCGCACTTCCGGTGCTTCGAATTTTCAACAACTCAAAAAACTATTCCTTGAGTGTACTCTGACAGCACCCAATTACAGGGTTCGTAATTAAAAATTTTGCCAAGTTTTTTTATTCAAGTTTTTATACAAATTTTGAAGCATAAAATTTTGTTAAGTTTTATAAAAATTCTTCAAAAAATTTGAAATGAACCAAGAAACGTCACATCTGGGAAACTGAAAGCAATTGAGCAGTCGCATTTGGACGCAAGATTTGCAACTCGTGAGAGTACCCTTACAGTTCCCAACTACAACGTTGGGAAACTCAGATTTTGAGGAACTTCAGCTTAAGTTTTCTAAAAGATGTTTTTTTTTAAAACCAGAAAAATTCTCATTTCGAAAACTACCAAAATTTGAGCAGTCTTTTTTGATGGCAAAATTCGCAATCTTTGAAAGTACACAACTGCAGGGTTGGGAATTTCACTTAAGCGAATTATTTAAATCACAAAAATCGCCTTATCTCTTAAACAAAAATGACTTGGGCATTCTTAATTGGAGGCCGAATTTGCAACCCCTGAGATTACTCTGTCAGCCCCCCCCCCCCCCCCCCCCCAACTACAGGTTAGGAATTTGAAACTTTGGAAAACAATCTAATTTAATTTTCATCAACTTTTTTTCGAAAAAATCACAAAAACGTCATATCTGGCAACCTGCAAGATTTCGAGCAGTCCTATTCAGAGGAAAGATTCGCACCCCCTGAGAGTAACCTCAATGATTCCAATAACAGGATTGATATCTTCAAAGTTTTGGAACTTTTTAATATTAAGTTTTTTTTGAAAATTTCGGAGAAAATCATAAAAGACGTCATATCTCGAAAACTACGAGGATTTGAGCTGTCATACTGGGAGGCAAAGTTCGCAACTCCGGAGAGTTCCCTGACAGAGCCTCACTACAAAGATGGTAATTTCAAGGTTTGTTAAATTTTTATATATAAATTTTCTTAACAATTTTGAAAAAAATCCAAAACAAAACGTCATATCTCGAAAACTACATGGATTTGAGCAACCATAATCAAAGACAAGATTCGGAACCGCTGAGCTTACCCTCACAGTATCTCTACAACAAGATTGATATCCAACGTTTTGGAATTTTTGAAAATCTAAGTTTCTGAAAATTTTTGAAAAAATCAGAAAAAACGTCGTATCTCGAAAACTACAAAGATTTGAGAAGTGAGAATTAGAGGCACGATTCGCAACCCTTGAGAGTATCCTGACAGCAACCAACTACAAGGAGAGAATTTCAAAAATTGAGAAATTTTCAAATTAAATTTTCTAGAAATTTTTTCAGAAACCTCGAAAATTGCTCATCTCGTAAACTAAAAAGGTTTGGTTATTCATACATGGAGTCCAGAATCGCAAAACCTGGAAAAACTCTGACAATATCTTACTATTGGGTTGCTAAATTCAAACTTGATGGAATAAACACTCAATTTAAACTGGAAAATCGAAAAAAAACCTTAACGATTGCAATATACGATATAGCTTAAACGTCAAAAAATCCATGTGTTAAAAAACATGCAAAAACAATACGTTGAAAAAGCTTAAATATGGCGAGATAGTGAAGCTCACATTTAAATAACTAATAGATAGATGATAGATAAAAAATGAAAGTTAAAAAATTAGGCGACGGGTAGACAGACAATCAAATTAATTAAAAAAGCAGGTATACAGACAGACAGACTGAATTTGGCC